AGGGCAGAAGTCCCCGGTGTTCTGGCTAGTGTCCTTCCTCACTTTCGCCGTGCAGAGGGCCGTGCAACGACGAAGCATTTCAGCATTGCACTTTTTGCGGGCTTCCATGAACTCCTCCGAGCCGAAGGGCAGGTCGGGGTGAAAGTTCGGAGGGGGGCCGCTCGCAATTCCCACGATCCTGGCCCCGACGCGGTCGTCATCGAAGACGAGGTGCTTAATGTCTTCATCAGACAACTGGTCTACGATGTTCTTGGCCTTCTCGAACTGACTGACCGGACGTTCTGGGCGCGGGCTGGCTGCCCAGGGCCGCGCGGCCGAGTCCCGCGGACCACCCTGCCGCGCCGAGGACGGAGCGCCAGAGCGCGGACGAGAGGACGGATCGACCGAGTGTGGGCGAGGTGGTGGTTGCGGGAGATCACGGCGCTGATGCCGCCTCGGCGTGAGGAGGAGCGGCAAGTACGCTGCGGAGGGCGATTTTGGCGTGGTTGCTGGACTCGCCGCCGACGGACAATCACGAGCAAGATGACCACGGATACCGCATTGCGGGCACAACGGGCCTTCTGGAACCCTATGGTGGCTCCTGGAGCGGCCGCTGGCCCTATGATGGGCAGGGGTCCGTTCCATATCCCGAGCCCTATGGTGGCTCGTGCCCGTGCCCCGCGCCCGTGCACTACGGTGGCTGCGGCTTCTGCTATGACGCTCCCGTGGACCCTCGTAACGAACATCGTCACGAAGACCTCCCCTAGAACGTTGCTGCTCCCCGCCGCCTGCCATGGCAAGTAGGCCGACCGAGAATCGGTTGCGCCCGCCGGGACCTACAGAGTGGTCGCAAACTACCTGGAGGGAGCCTGAAAGGGCAGCAGAAAGCAAACGAGGCACCAAAACAACCCCTTCCGCCCTCCACTGCCTGTCGACTTCCGCCTTCACCTCGGCCCGCGACGCTTCGGTCTCCACTACGCCCAGGCCTGTCTCGCTCGCGTCCGTGGCGAACACCGTCGCGCTCCACTGAGCCTCCAGGTGCGTGTACATCAAAGGGGCTACGTGGTACAGCATGTGGAGCTTGTTCAGGACGCTCTCCCACAGCTCGTGCCGCCCTTGATCCCCGTCGCACTTCGTCACGAACTTGTAGCACGAGTCCAGCAGGCAGAAGGCGGAGCGGCAACGCATCGCTAACCAGACACAAGAGCCCACTATCAAGACAGCTCCTGGGACGTCGGGCGCCCTCGGCTAGCAGGACTCCAGTCGCTCCGATCACGTTCCGAACCTTGTCCCTCGCGGCCGTCAGCCGGCAGGGCTTCTCGGCGATCGTCACCCCAAGGGAGAGGGGCATCGCATCCCCCAGCCCGTCTTTGTGCATGTCCAGCCCGACCTCCGTGAGCCTCAGGCGGGCGACCTCCTTCACCGTGGGTCAAGGAGGCAGTTTCGTCCATGAAGGCCCACTAGATGAAGGCCACCTCCGCGAAGCTGGGGGGCACCGGGCCGCGCACAAGCTGGCCGCGACTCGGGAAGCCAGGCAGGTCGCATATTATGTTTTCCAGCGCTCCGCGGCAGATCGCTGGGGACCAACCGAAGCCCATGAGCATCACGATGAGGCACATGTATCGGCTTCCTCTCGGCACGCTCGGGACCTTCATGGTTATTCTCCTCATCTCCTTCAACAGCTGATCGATCGACACTCCTCCCAAGACCATGTAGCGCCAGAGTTCCAAACAGCTCTTGCACCTGTATACGAAATCGGGCACGTCCCCCCACATCGATTTTAACACCCTGCCCTGCGTAACCTCGTCTGACAGGTCGAGCTCTGCCATAGCCATCGGGGGCCCGAGGTTGAGATGAGGGGGCTTTCGGAAGCGCTTGTTCACGCGCCTCAGGTTCCACGCAGGCCTCAACACGAACTTCCTGTCGTCGCGCACCTTCACCATCACGAAGAACACGGCCACCTCCGACTTGCAGACGCTGGTGAAGCCCAGCATCCCAGACTCCCAGAGCCTCGCAGCGAAGTCCAGCCTCGCCGACTTGTGACGTAAGCTCGGGTCGGTGTATGCACGTGTGTTCTCGATGCCCGTCTAGTCCACCTGACTCGGCGGCAGGGCAATCTTCTCGTAGAACCTGTCGGAGTAATAATTGGCCTTCGGCGAGACCAGCTTGATGTCGCATGACTCCGTCCCCGCTGGTGGCAGAGACGCTTCGCCGCTCACGAATGGCATGACTTTCCCTCGCTCTGGCACCCCCTCGTCGTCGCTCGATACAGCTATGGCCACGTAAGGCCCAGTCTTTGCATGCAAGGCCAGCCGCTCGAAAGCGGACTCGGCGTCGGAGGCGTGCATCGTCAGGTCGTGGGCCTCTCGGTGGCACTGTAGCACCCTCTCGGAGATCCTCCGTGGCAGCTCGTGGCTCATCGTCCGCTCCTTCGTACTGCCCCATACAGTGTCTCGAAGTCGGTCGTGGCAACCAGTCGTGAACGCCGTCAAGGACCTCTCAGCCGCGTCCCCCCTGCCTCTGATCGCCCTCTCCTGGGCCGTCCGAGACTTCGATCGCCCCGAAGCCGACGCCGTAGGCTCGGGAAGGCTGAGGAGCGGCAGCACCTCCAGCGGGTCCCTGATTCGACCATCGGGCGGGAACTCGCACTCCGCTCTCACCATGATGAGAAAATAGAAAGTAGCGCTGCTGTGCACGTAGGTGCAGTGAGCTGCTGCCAAGGCCACGGCAGCAGCAAGGACGCGCCCGGCCTGGGCCCGGCGCCTGAACTTTAGCTTCCTGTCGCTTGCTTTTCGTCTTTCTTGGAAGCCGCGTTCTTGTGGTCGTGCAGCTTGTCGAGGGGTTTCGCCGGCGGGGCGCGGTGGGCCAGCCTGTCCCGAAGCTCCTCCACCCCCGTCGATGAGCAGGCCCTCCTGATCGCTTTTGCTTGCGTCGAGCTCCTCCAGCACGGTGTAGTTGACCCTCGACTTCCACCCCTGCTTGGCGGCATTTGGGGGCTTCCAGTCGCTCCTCTGCTTCGCGGTCTTGAACGCCCGCTCGATCCCTTGCATCCTCCGCATCGCGAGCTCGGTCGTCTTGTAGTTGATCCAGTCCGCTGGCGCCTCGATCATGGATCTGTCGATCATCGTGCCGATCGGCAGCACCTCCTCCGCCACGTGGTTGCCGTCTAGCTGTTTGAGGCAAATCATCTCGCGGAGGGCCGACACGTCGGTCGACCCTTTCCTGTGCAGCCTCGCCACCATCGAGGGAGCGACCCTTGTCTTGAGGCCGCCAGCTCACGCTTGGGGACAACGCGTTTAGTTTCTCCTTGGCCTTCACACGCATGTCCTTGAACGAGGCGTCCAAGCCTCGCAGGAGGGCCTCCACCTCGGGATGCTGGACCGACGCCTAGGGCGCTGCCGTCGGTGATCCTGCTGTTGCTGCCAAGCCGTCGCTCTGCACGATCTCCTTGTGGCGGTCCAAGCGGTCGAGGAGGCGAGACACCATCTGGTCGCACTGAGAGCCCTCGCCGAGCTCCACGCTGCCACTGAGAGATCCCAACGGCTTGCTCGGAGACTCCACCGCTGTCGGCACCGCTGATGGCGAAGCCGCGCTCTTGGTCTCCAGCGCTGCCAGCCGGTCCGCGACTGCGCTCAGCTGCCTGATCATCTCGTGCTCCACGGACCCCTCCTCCTCGCCGTCGGACATCGCGACGCCTTCGTCGCGAGGTGTCGAAGCCCCAGAGGAATTTGGCGAAGGGCTCCCAGACCAGGGCAGCATCCACTACCACGATGACCCTGTCTCGATCTCCTCGGTCCGATCCCAGTGCCGTGAACGCCGTCCGCGGCAGCGCGATCCCGTCACGCCAATCACGAACATGGTGCCCACGGACATGTACAGCGGCTCCAGCACTCCCGACTTGTGCATCTCCACCAGCTGCTTGTACTCCTCCCTGAGGCCCTCCACCGTCTCCACCGTCTCCTTGGCGCTGCTGTGCACCCACTTCACCCACTCCACCGCGCTGAGGCAGGCGCACGCACGCCACAACACGAAGGTAGATTCCGCGAAGCCTCCCAAGCTCCTTCGAGTCCACACGCAGCCCGCGACATTGCTCGCTATCTTCGTCAGCCACCTCACGAGGTGACGGCGATGGGTCTTCTTGCCAGGCAGGCTCTTCCGACTGAAGTCGCGGGTGATCGTGGCAGTCGTCGTCATGCTTCCCAATGCTGTCACTCGATCCGCCGCCTCGCCATGGCCTTCTCGCGAGCCGACATGCCCGGGAAAGCCCCGTGGTCCACGCCTGCGAACTTGGTGGAGCGAACCTTCGCTGTCACTGCCAGGTCGATGACCTGGAGCCTGCCCGTCGGGTCGATGGCCACCCAGCGGCGCTTGCCTGACGTCGTCGTGAACTTCGCCACCAGCAGCATGATGAGGCCCTTCTTGTCGTCGACCCTTGGTCGATAGTACACTCTGCTCCATCGTTGCGGTGGCATCGGCGGGGAGACCTCGGTCTCCTGCTCACTAGAGAGTTCCTTGCGCTCCGACTCCTCAGCTTCCTCGAAGCTCTGCTCGTCCCAGTAGTAGGCTGCGAACTCCTTGGCGGCGAAGTCCAACCATTTCTCCAAGGCCTTCTCCTGCACCACCGAGGTCCCCAACACGTACGCGGCGAACCACGAGAGCTTCGTGGTTGGAATGGCCGCCCGATGGGACGGCGCGCGAGTGGGAGAGGAGGCCACCTGGATAGAAGCTTGAGCCCATATATGTAAGACAAACTGTTGCCGGTTCTACTCTCGAAGCCCTGAGTACTTTCCTCGCTGTCCCACCCCCCCTCTGTCCCGCCGAGGCCCGAGGGGGGGATTATATATACACGGCCCTATCTACACGCACACAAAGACATCCCGGTTGCAAACATGTAAGGGCGGAGGAGGTGGAGGAGGAGGGGGAGGAGGAGGAGGAGGAGGAGGAGTTGGAGGAGGACGGGGTGAGGGAGGATCATGAGGAGGCTGGACCTTGCCAACCCTGCGGTGCGTGTTCCCCTGAAGGCGTCTGGGACGTCATCTCGCCTGCTCAGGCCGTCCAGCTGGTGGGGAAGTTCTCCCCGGACGAGGCGCAGACTGCCGTGGAACGGCTGGTCTCGAAGGCAAAGATGAGGTGGCAGACCTTAGAAGACGGGCTCGTCTGCGCGGGCATCGTCGCGCAAGCTGCCCGTCGTGTGGAAAACACACATCCGTATTCGCGGCCTCGCGGGCCAGACCCCTGGGCCGCGACCCCGCGAATACGATTTTTTTTTCGCGGATGCCCCGCGCGGAACGTATCCGTGCGATCGCGTGTTCGCGGGATCGCGCCCTGGAGTCCAGACCCCGAAGGCGCCGATACGGATGTGTTCGCCGTTCGTGAGCCCGCATAAGGTCGCCCCCGCAAGCGCTCTCTCATTCCCGAGGTGTGCCGCGCTGGACGCCTGCGTATGCCACCACACAGGATCGCCGCGTCCTTTCTCGCGTAAAGACCGCCCACGAGCAGCGAGGCCACTCCCCCGCACACTGTTTTTGTTCGGCCGTGAGGGGGTGTACGGTGGGGGCGTTGGTTAAGGAATGTGCCCAGGAAGCTTCAGACCCTGAAGGATTCCTTATCTGATAAGGGCGGCGGTAATATCCATGTCTACTCCACGATTGGAGTTCCACGAGTTTCCACACCCTGGATTCCTTATCCAATGATTCCTTCTCCAATGCCCCGATAAGGCTCCGGCTGATTGGATAAAAAAAATGCCCCGACCGTGCCCACGGCAAGGCCCGCCGTCCACAGGGAGCGATCGGCCTCAAGCGGGCTCCACCTCATGGAGCGCTGTCTATCTAGCTCATCCCAATGAATCTTCGCCGCCAAGGTGGCAGACGAAGGAAAGCGTTGTTGACGACATCACCGCCATCCTCATCTGGCCGAATTTCGCTCCCAGCGACGAGGCGTAGTGAGGTGCGGCCGGCGTTCGTGGAGGGCGCTAGGGGAGGCGATCGCGGATGATCCGCTCCCTTCTCTTGGCATTCGAGGAGTGGTACAAGATAGCACCATGAGTTTTGAGTCATACTGTAGTCGACTCTTGCTTGCTGGGCCTAGGCTTTTAGGGGGCGCTTTGGAAGGACGGGGACTCCCTCTCCATAGCCCCTAGCGCCAAGAACAGAAGTCGCCAAGGCCAGTTCTTTCAGGCTGGGACCTCCAGAGGCCCGCTCCTGCCTACCCAGCTGGGGGACGAGCACTGGTCCCCCGTCCCCCCGGTGAGGATCGGGATATCTGCAGGGCCACGTCGCGAGAAAATTAGAGCGCCGGAGGCCTTGGAGACGGCGGGGAGGGGGGAGGATGAGGGGGGGGCGGGGCACTGGCACTCACTCGCAGAGACGCTGGCGGCGCTGGCCTTCTTGCGCTTGCGTGTTGGAGGCGGGCTGGCGCTCAGCTGCCAGATCCTGCGTGGTCGGTTCTGCGTGCCCGCCAGCTCTTGCTCGTCCTAGCTTGTGGAGGTACTGTGTTGCAACATAGCATGCGTGAGGGTAGAGGCAGTCATGGACGAGGGCGGATGCGTTGCAGGAAGCGTGTGAATTTGGCAGCGTAGCAGGTGAGCCAGTGAGACTGGTGCGGTATAGGTGTGAGACCTTTATTGTGCAACTGCTTGCACACTCCGCAGTCTCTCTGGCACGAGAAGCATCATAGTAGCGGAGCTGGCCAAGACCAGCTCCAGCTAGCGCCCCCCAGCGGCGCTGGCCTCCTCGCGAGCGCGCGTAGCGGCGCCATTGCGAGCGATCCACGGCGGACCATACAACGGCTCATAGGGGCGAGGCGAGGCGCAGCCCGCCATAAGGGATAATGGCACGAACTAGCAGCCAAGAGCGCTCGCAAGTAGCTGGGCGGAGTTAGCCGGTAGACCACAGCAGTGGCGGCAGGCGTCGAGTGGCAGGGAGGCAGACCCAAGCCGTCCACTTTCGACGGATTCGAGGAGCACTGGCAGCAGCGGTCATTCGTGATGAGAGTCTTCTTCGGAGGGAAAACGCAAGTATCACAGCGCCTGCTGTCGGTGGCTGAGGATTTCAGGAGCGATCCGGACATTTCGGCAGAGTACATCCAGAACTCGGATCCTGACTCGGGCGCCGCAGAAAACCATAAGATGTTATCTAGCTTGGCCATGACTGTGAAAGGCAGTTTTTCAGATGATCAAGCGATGATATAAGCAACAGAGCGCTGCAGCAGGTTGCGAAGCGCTGCGCAAGAGGTACGAATCAGCTACGGTGGATCGGGCCCAGAGTGTCATGTTGGGCATCCTGAGCGTCAACGAGTGCCCGTATACCCTGGCGAAGTTGACGGGGGTTCACGCGGAGCGGGAACGCGACATCGCATGATATGTAAAAGGTCTGTGGGCGAACTTGTCAACGTGGGTGCGGAGAAGAGCATCTGCTTCCAGAAGGCGCCCAGCAACATCAGGACGATGCTCCAGATGGCAAGCGAGCGGACCTACGACGACGGAGTGACGACCACCATCCAGTACCTGCAGGCGACCGCGATTTGCGACGACGGGTACCAGAGGTACCCACCCCCACCACGTAGACCTCCAAGGGGCCCCAATGCCATGAATGTCGACGCGCCTACTAGGGCGCGCGGCCTTGGCACAGGCAGGGTCCACGGTGGCAAGGGCGACGGTGGTACCTAAGGGGGGCACGGGATGGAGGCAAAGCCAGAAAGACAGGAGGAAAGACAAGTGGGAATACGAGCCAGACAGACACCAGACCCGAGTGTTTCAACTGCGGGCGTAAGGGCCACGACGCAAGGCACTTCCGGCGTTAAGCCCAGACGGACGGTGAGACAGAGACCAAGAGACGTGCTCGCGGGGGCCCCCGAGGCAAAGGTAGAGAACGGACTGGCGAAGGCGGTTCGGTCAACGAGCCTTCAGCGCAAGTGGACGGTTGGTCGCCGGTGGGCTCTTTGCCTGGCAATGCGGCGGCATCAACCGTAGGGCTCTCAGCCAGCCAGATCGGGGCACGGGTGCGCCGTGCTGTCGGAGGCGCGGCACCAGGGCAGCGTGGCTTGGAGCTCAGCGGAAGGCGCGTTGCACGAATGAGGATCTGGAGCGGCCGACGCGCTCGAACTGGCATTGCTGACCAAGCGAATTGCACGAGAACTTGACGCCTGGCGTGGCAAGCGACAGTAGCAACGCACTGCATATAGCGAAGAAGAGAGGACCAGGCAGGATGAAGCACATCGAGATCAGGCTCTTGGCTTTGCAGCAGGGGCGCGAACACAGGCGCCTGCAGTTCGAAATGACTCACGCGGGCGACAACGAAACACACAGGCTGACGGAGCCGACGACCCAGGAGAAGCTTGTGAAGTTCTCCTGCAGCGTAGGCTTAGAAGGGAAACCGTTCCGCACACTTAGCCACGACGAACTAGGACATAGTAGGAAGATTTATTTGAACCACCAGAGCTGCCAGGGATCACCGCTCGGCATATCGATGAAGCTTGGATCCAAGAACAAGTTGAGACAAGCAGGCAAACGGGCGGGAGTGTCCCGAACAGGGTGCGCCCGGACACATTCAGAATTTCGCTCGGGAAGCGTTTCTAGCATCCGAATTATAATTGCACCGGCCTTTGGCGGCGCTGGCAACAACAGGCGCCAGATTGACGGTGAGGCCCATGTACCCTACCCAAGTCAGTTTTTGTCAACCATTCCCTCACGATCCCTGGGCTGGCAGGCTTGGCGGAGTCGTGGGCGCGTTGAGTTAATGCGTAGCATGTCAGAGGGTAGAGGCATGCGCGGCCGAGGGCGGATGCATTTCATAATACGGGTGAATTAGGCAGCGTAGCAGGTAAGCCAGTCAAGTGGGCGCGGTGCAGATTTGAGACCTTGATTGTGTAATTGCGTGCGCACCCCGCAGCCGCATTGGCACAAATATCATCAGAATCCTCATAAACCATTCACGTCGTGAAAACAAAAGCCAAAACATAACGCCATTTTCGACCGCGGGCCGTACCGGGCTTCGAGACCGTCGGATCTCGCACCGGGATGAAAGAGCAAGGAACGGGTCGAGACCTCTAGGGGTCACTATTGTCAAACATTGGATTCGACGCGACTCCAATTTGGGGCCGTCAGTCTTCCGAAAAGAGTTCAAAACAGTTATGAGTAAGGCAGAACACTACAGTGCAAGCGTTGCTTGACATTGCGCGGCATTGCTTTGCATTGCCTGGCTTTGCTTGGCATTACACGGGCACTTTCCCAGGCAACCCCGAGGAACGTCGAGCGCCGCATCTGATGAATGTCCCCTCGCCCAATAGATTTGTTCACCAGTAAAAGAGCTCCTTTGGCAAAGCCTAGTTGGGCAAGATCGGTAATGCCGACGTCAAGGGTCTGGGTCCTCCTCTCCATATACTCATCCGCTCTCCACCCCCTGAGAGCTGGGCTTCGCATTTGTTTTCACGCCGGGCACTCTCGTTTGGTTTTCTGGCCGCCCGAGGGCCCTCGCGAACCGATCTGGCCTGAGAGATGCTCATGTGAGGTTCGGTCGAGATTTCTCTTGGGGAGCTTCATTGCCGTATGTGTTGACCTCGTCTGACCTCAGTACCTGAATCTGCTCATCCGCTTGCCACCCCTCATGCGCGGCCGTGCTAGTGTGCCCGTCCTGCCGGTCGTACAAGCTTCCGAACCGCACCACCGCAAGCTGTCGTTGTCTCTCCAGACCTCCTGAGACCAGGAACAATCGTGCGGAGGTTTTCCGTTTGTTTCTGTTTCCAGCGGCCGTTTCTAGGCTTTGTGGACCAAGCACCGACCCGTGATGAAAATGGACGGTCCCAGGGGATGGGGCCAAGACGTCCAGAGGCAGGCAACACGAGCAACTTGTGTCGACGGAGGTCTGTGTCTACCGCCCACCAGCAAGCGGCCATTCTGAGGATGAGATTGGCAAAATCGCCAGTGCGTCTTCAAGTTTTAAGGGCATCGCAGATGCGGACGACTCTTTTATCGGCTCGCCTTTAAGGTCGCTCGCACGCCGTGATTGAAATAGTCGGGCGATGGCCTGCGGGGTGTTGCTTGCACTTCATCATCTCTTCTCTTTTTCCCTCTCTGGCTCTCTCTCTCTCTCTCTCTCTGCTCCGTGCCCCGCGCGTTTCCTTGTTTTCGTCGTTCTGCATCCGACTTTCTGGTGCACGCGCACTCTCCGCCCGAATGTTCACATTTAGTCACCGTGTCTTCTGTGCTGCTTTGTTGGCATGTTTTCAATCTCGCTCTTCTCTCTCTCACTCCTCTTGCCTCGGTCCCACGCTGGACCATCGTGTGCATGTTCCTAGCCGTCAGGGCCGCATCCCCAGGCCACCTGCACATGCTCATCTATGACAGGTGGTTGGCTCGATGAGCCGACCTGATATCTGTCCATGATTTCACCCGTTGTTGCCAGCAGCTCTTTGGTGAGTCCTGATGTTCGTATTCTCTTCCCACCAGGGGACAAACAATCCTGTAAGCGCAGCAGGTTTCGGAGTCAGCCTGGGGTACAGCAGAAGTCCGAGGGGACACAAGGATTGGCGACCCCAAGCGTCGGATACATCTTCATCAACTTGCTCTGTGCTGTACAGGGTGACGGGATCAGAAGGGTAAGGATGCAAGGCCATTTGACGCCTAGATTGAAGCCGAAGCTCGAGGCCCATGGCCCATGGCTGAGTCTTGAGGTTTGGGTTGGGCCGAGGAGCACGGATGCACGAGTACCCTTGGCACAATGCCCACCTTCCTTGTGCACAAGACGCTGGCGTCGAAGGTTCATTCCCGCGTGCATGTGCGGATCGTTTCGGTGCGGTCTGGCGCTCCAGAGCAGTGGGTTCGGGCCACGTGCTCTCTGGGGTCGTCAGGCGGGGCGTTCGTCCAGGGGTGAAGCCGCGGAGGAGCGAGAGACCCTCACGTTCCCTACTCCGGTCCCTCCAGACGCCGCCGGCGTCGAACCTTTCC